GCGCTCGGCTGCCATGCAGAGAAGCAGAGTCGGCATCTCTGCCTGCCCTATGACAGTTTCTTCCTAGTTTCTTCTTAATAAAATAATTTCAATGTCAGCGTTTCGCGAAATATTTCAAAAGTGTAATGTACGAAAGACGCATTACACTTTTGCTTACACAAGTACAGATGCGCATCTGCTTGAGATAAGACATCGCGATCTACTCGTCGTCACGTCTTCTCAAAATTTAATGTAATTACGATATTCAAATTCAATCCTGTCACATCTTAGAAATTTAGAATAATACCATGCCTCGTCATGAGATTTCTGGCATTAAGATATCAGAAAATTTGCATAGTTGTTTAGAAAAAAAACCGTGTATGAAATCAGTAATGCTGTCCCTCTCTTCATGGTGCATTAAGGAATGTATTTCAAAACAACTGGCCGATCTTACTCTTATAAATATTTATAAATATCAACGTTACAAATCACGTGTGTAGATGTTTTATACTACGCGATATGTATCGCATAGTCATCACTTTTAAAAAGTTTATCTGATGATCGTGCGATGTTATCTAAATGGCCTGCGACACGATTAAATTTTCGTTGCTCGCGTTTACAGTTTCGTTTAATTCAAAAGCCAATTTCACGTTCGATGTTTTATGCTGATATTATAATCGATATTTAATCTCATTTGAAGAGAGTAACACAAACATATTGTAATATTTTCCGAGTCGAGCATCGGTGTGAAAGTCACAACAGTCTATCGTAAAACACATTGCGCGACAAAGTAATAGGTGTTCGCGATAAATGCATTTGCAAAACAAATACACTTGTGCCTTTTCCAGTCCGTTACTCGAAAAGGCGAAGTTATCGAGTACAAACTGGACGTCGCGCGCGCGCGCGCGCGCGAAAGCAAGCGAGTCCGTGTCTCGGGTGAACTAACGAGCTGTCGATTTGACGTATTCGCAGGCGTACGAGCTGTCGACGTTGACCGGCACGCAGGTGATGCTGCTCGTGGCGAGCGAGACCGGCCACGTGTACACGTTCGCGACGCGCAAGCTGCAGCCGATGATAACGAGCGACGCCGGGAAGGCGCTGATCCAGACGTGCCTCAACAGCCCGGACCCGCCGCCGTCGGGCTCGTCGGGCGACCAGAGGATGTCGGCCACCGGCTTCGAGGAGACCGAGCTGACGTACAACATCGCCGACGACGAGCAGAAAGTAAGGCAACTGGTGTACGGCTCGCCGCACGGTG